GGGAACCCCTAGTAAGGAAACTCTCTCCACCAGTGCAGATCAGGAAATATTCTGTAATTTGTAGTTTTCCAGAGTTGTCTAAAGATACTGAGAGGTTATGCGATTTGCCCAGGGTGACATAGCCAAGGTTTTTCACAAGGAAGATTTGAAACTAGGGCTTTGTCCTCTGTGTTTTACTGTCTCAGAGGTCCACAGCCAAGCTTTTGCTTTTATGATTCATGAATTCTTGTATTGTCTGTCACAGGAATACATTGGTTGTAGTTTAGGCCATAGTTTTAGGGGCAGCTAAATGGCACAGTGGATAGAGCACTGGACCTGCAGTCAGGAAGACTTATCTCCTTAAATTCAAGTATGGCCTCAGAAACTTACTAGCTTGTGACCCTGGGCAAGTCATTTAATCTTGTTTGCCTCAGCTCCTTTTTTATAAAATGAGCTGGAGGAGGAAACAGCAAACCATTCCAGTATCAGTGCCAAAAGAACCCCAAATAAGGTCACAAAGAGTTGAGCGTGACTGAAACAACTGAACAATAACAAAACAAGTGAACAAAAAAAAAACCACAAATAGCATACCGAGATGTCTAATTTAAGAATAATTTTTAAATTTATTAAATTTGTATTAGTTGTGTCTTATGGCATGTACAGACTTTCTGTAAACATGCAGTTTCACACTAGAGATGCACCTTCCTCCTCAGATCTGTAAGTTCTTTCCTTGAACCTACTTTTCCTCCCTAGGTATTTACCTGCTGCCCTTTTTGGTTCCTTTTTTTTTATGTTGTATTCTTATTAGCATATAAACCCCTTTAAAAGGGGGGCTTTCTTTTTTGTTGATTTATAAAACCAGCATTTAGCATAGTTTAATCTAATCTAATCTCTAGTCAAAAGGATCATGTAGGGAGCATTGAAGAAGTATTTATGGCAAGTTGTTTAGGATAGAGAGATGAAGTTCCTACCTTGTTCTTTCCTTTTATCCCCTTTCTTCTCATAAAATGACTAATTGGGATATATACCTTACAAATAATTTCTTCAATTCAGTATTTGCCAAATAGTCTTCTTTAAGAATTGGACCATAGAATGTTACCCCACCCCCACCCCCATGGGAAGAAGTCCCAATGCTAAAGCCATGCAGCTCTAGAGAGAAGTAAACTTAAAAAGTCAGTGCCAGCAATGACACATAATTGGTCACATTTATATAGCTCTTCGAAGTTTACAAAACATTTTCCTCACAGCAACAGAGGCAAATTATTCATATAGTATCCCATTTTAAAAACAATTAAAATCAAGTTTGGAGAGATTTGTCCCAAGGCTACCCAATTAGCAAAGATCAGAGCTAGGACTCCAACATAGGTCTTTTAACTCCAAAATTTCAGTTCTTTCAGCTGCCCAATGTATATTATTTAATGTAAATTCATTCTAGCTTACTTTAATTAAAAACGAATAGGTAAAAGTAAATAAGAGAAAACTCCTCTTGAGAAGAAATCAAAATTTCCCTACTTGCTGTGCTCCTGAGATAGACTTTGGTATTGCCAATGTGACCTGTGGTCAGGATAGTTTTTGTACCCCTATTTCTTGTATTCAAGGTTCAGACAAACCCCACTTTTTTTCCTTTAGTTAAATGAAAACAAGGTTGAGTTTTAAAGGAATTTTGCCAGGTAGCTAAAGGCAAGTTACATAAAATATTGTAAGTACAATCTAGTCACATTGGCTTGGCTGACAGCTCAACTAGATATGTTCACTAAATTCTATTCTTACCCAGTGTCTTGTCCCTTTTTCTTCTTCCCTTCCCTACCTTTCTGAAAGTAAAGAAAAGAGGATGCTGGAACACCAAAGAGAAAAATAACTACATCAAAAGTTTAATTTTCATAAGAGGAAATAAGAGAAAGTAGAAGATCAGAAGTTGATAGCAATTTAGATTTCTATATGAGATTTCCCAGACAAGAGATAGGTTCAGCTTCTGATTGTGTTATAGTGATGATGCTTATTTACATTCATATATACCTGAACAGTTGAGCAAGTAACTTCAGGTGACAGGAAGAAAGGTAGGAAACTCCCAAAGGAATGAAAGGATAGGAGATGGTGAACAATGAAGGGGCAAAGTATGATGATATCTTAACATCTGGTCAGTTAAGGGGAAAAGAGAAAAGAAAGGAAAGATCAAGAATTGCCCAGAATTTGTACTTCTGCATGAGATTGTAGAAATAATACGTAGCCAAGAGAAGCTGTGATTTGCATTAGGTTTGCTGACAGTTTGCTAGAGTAGTTTTCAACATAAATCTTAAAGTCCATTAAGAGAGTAGATGTTATGAAAGGCAGACTATTCAAAAAATGTTGTTATGTAGGATCTTTGAAAGTAATAATATATATGTGTGTGTATGTACATATATATAGACACACACATATATATAGATATATACACATGTATACATACATATATATATTTTTTTTCTAAGGAAAAGGCTGACTTAGAAAAATACATTGCTAAGAGCTGACAGCTTCTCAGTAATCATATGAAGGATTTTCACAGCTCGGAGGGCTAAGTATTGAGTTACAGGAAGAGAATTTGCTCTTGTCAGACCAAATTAGGTAAACTGAGTTAGAAGTCTAAAACATTTTAGATGTCAGGAGTACTCATCTTTATTTCACATCTCAAGTTTCCCAAGTAGGCCAAAAAAGCAAAACAAAACATGGGCACTAAAAGGTGAGCCAGCTATGCTGTTAAATGTTATTGCCTATGAGTTCTTATTTGAGAACAGTAGTCAGAGAAAAAAAAAAGACCAAGCGAGGTTACTGTCCTAACACTTAAGCAAGGGTAGATATAATTACAGAAGATCTAATGCATTATTTCTTAACCTGCGACTCACAGATGCTTAATGGATATATACATAGATTCAAGGGGTCCAGGAAATTGATAGGAAGAAAAATTGCATGTTTTTCACTTATCTCAAAGTAAAATTTAGCTTTCCATCCATTACGGAACAAATATTATTCTGAAGCAACACATATTCTGAGAAAAAGATCATTTCACCAGAAGGAATAACGTCATTCAGGACTCAGCTCTTTCCCATCTGTTACTTTTCCTGGTTCTCTCATCTTTCTTGCCTTCTCTAAAGACTTTGACAATCATCTTCTCTTTAATACTGCCTTCTTAATGGTTTTCTATGACAATACTCTCTACTGCTTCTTCTATTACCTGTCTGGCCCGTCCTTCCTGGTCTCCTTTCCTGGATCTTCATCGAAGCCATCAGCATGTATCCCTGTGCTTACCCTCTTCTCTTCTCTTTCAATCCTTTTCCATTGGTGATCTCATCCACTTCCATGAATTCTATTATCTTTATGCTGATGTTTCTCAGATCAACTTTGCCACCCCTTACCTGTCCCTCAACTTCCAGTTTCATATCTTCAACTAACTATTGGAAAACTGAAACTGGATGTTCAGTAGACATCTTAAACTCAACATGTCCAAAATTGAACTCATTATCATTCCCCTCAAACCATCCCCTTTTCCTAACTTCCTAATTACTGTTAAGGATAATTTCATTTCCCATATCTCTGACACATCGTAAACTCCTTATAGGTAGAAACTATTTGTTTTTGGCTTTGTATCTCTAATGCCTAGCAAAGTACATTTTACATAATAGGAACGTGATAAATGTTTGGTGAATTAGATTGATTGTACCTTCCCATTATGCCATATCCCCTCCCTAAATTGTGATGAACCAAGTGTGACAAAATTTATTTTTGTTTATTTACTTTCTAAAAGCTTATTGATTGTATTGTATTAAATTCTTTTCTATATGGAGAATATGCAACAGGTGTGTTCTTCCTCTTGTAGAAATGATGTTTCTCAAATTGTTGTTTTGGTCGATTAAGGGATCATAAGTTGGATACAGCATCTGTAAAAGTTTAAAGATGTGTTTGGCAATCTCAGTAACTGAATTCTCACAGCTTTCTTTTCTGAATCCTCATAACACTCTGTTTAAATAATTCTTATGCATTTATCATATTAATGATACTATGTTTATTTGTGTATATGTATTTTCTCCTCCATTATTTTTTAAGTTGTGAGGCCCAACTGTAACCATTTGTGTTCCACTATTACTATGCTTTGATTATTTTAGGTGCTCGGCACTTATCTTTTGAATTATGGTTAGTAAATGAGTATCCAGCACCTGGGTTCTTCTGATGGACTCTTACCTTTGCAGTCTTTAAGAATTACTCAAGGGGCAGCCAGATGACACAGTGGATAGAGCACCAGCTTTGGAGTCAGGAGGACCTAAGTTCAAATCTGGCCTCAGGCACTTACTCGTTGTGTCACCCTAGGCAAGTCACTTAACCCCAATTGCCTAAAAATTAAAAAAAAGAATCACTCTGTTAAGTAGAGGAACACCAGAGCTTTAGAATTCCAAATAAATGTTCATTGATAATGGAGTTGCTATAATAAAGATGTCTGAGTTACTTTGATATTTTGTGATATGCATTATAATGTGGAAAGTGAGAGTTTTGAAAGGGAATCATTAGGATAAAAAAAAATTTGGGAACCACTCATCTTGAAGGCTATTGTCCAGGGAAGATGGGACCTTTTGACTTCTGAGTGGAAGGCACTCCCAAACTTTGAATTCAAATAAAGTAAAATCAATTGGACCATGTAAGAGCCTCATGTTCAAGCTTATATATGTACAGATGATCTGAAGTGCCATAAACTTGTACTCAAAAGTCCTAAATTGAGTTTATGTCTTTTTTTAAAAAAAAATTCTAAATCATGAGAAAGTAGTGGTTACTGCTAGAGTGGCTACTATTCTTATAATAAATGGCAATTCCTTTTGGTTTTGGGTACTCATTTTCCTTGATCAACTCAGTGTAACTTTGATTTCCAGTATTACATTAATGAATAAAATGTCACTTAGTTATAAATGACAGAGAGAGAGAGAGAGAGAGAGAGAGAGAGAGAGAGAGAGCGAGCGCGAGCGAGAGCGCATTTCACAGGTCTCTTTACTTATTTTCAGGTTGCCTGGAATTAAAGGAAGACACTATTGAAAATCTTCTTGCTGCAGCTTGCCTTCTTCAGCTTCCTCAAGTAGTAGAAGTGTGCTGTCATTTTCTTATGAAGCTTTTACATCCATCAAACTGCTTAGGGATCCGAGCATTTGCAGATGCTCAGGGGTGTATTGAACTCATGAAGGTGGCCCATAGCTACACAATGGTAAGGAAGTCTTGCTATAAATTTCCATAGCAGAAAAGTACTGTAACTGAAGACATATATAATGTATTGAATGAACTATTGCTGTTGTTTAATTTATCAGACAATACAGGCAAGGGCAGTAGGTCATAGTAGCTGGAATTCTGCATTGGATTCAGGAAGACTCAGTCCAAATCCTACCTTTGACACTTACTAGCTGTTTGATGCTGGATATGTTGTAAGTTGTATGTGCTTTAAATACATAGAGCTACATATATATATATATATATATATATATATTTATTTATTTACAGTCATAAATGGGTTGTATGGGTAGAAAGCATTCTGGTAGCAAGAGTTTCTTACATTGATGAAATCACAGTCCAATATTATACAATAGCTACAGTATAGCAATATATTATCATTTCAAAATCATTGTATAATTAATGTTTTCTTGCCAATTGATTACATGTATTTATAGGAGACTTTCTCTATATGTATAGATACATACATATACACACATATATGTATATGAGTGTATGTGTATATGTGTGTGTGTGAGTATGTGTGTGTGTGTGTGTGTGTGTATGTATATATATATATACACACATATATGCATGTAGCTTGTTCATTTAAGGTGCTAACAAATCTGTCAGTATCTTATTCTGTTTTTCATGTTAGTTTTAAGCTATGACTACATGTTTATCTTCAATCATTTAGTTGTGTCTGACTCTTTGTGACCCCAAGTAACATATCACACCAATATTTTCCATGGGTTTTTTTTTTGGCAAGGATATTGGAGTGATTTGTGATTTTCTTCTCCAGTGGTCTATATGTTTAATCATTGGTAAATAATGTTAATGAAATTTGGGCCCATCTTTTCATTGTGTATATTTACTTCTTATATAACTGTAAGATTATCACAGTCATATAAAATATCCTACTATTATTATTACTTTTTGCTATTATTATTTATTAAAACTTCTTTATGAGATATTTAAGAACTTTTCCATTCCTAGCTAGGATTAAAATTAGAAATCTTGTCACAGAAATTCACACTAAGCAGAGAAGAAAATCTGATTCAGACCAGCTTTATATTTGACTAGCATTATACAATAGAAAGCTTTTAATTGACAAATTACTTATGATCAGACAGTATAATACTCTTCTAATTGGTATTCTTAGGTATACTTTCAAGATTATTTCAGTTTCATTCTGTCCAATCCTTTAAGCAGATTACTGACATAAATTAAAATACAAAAATATAGGATGAGATGCAGAATTTGTAATTCCATTGTTAAATCCTAATTTAGCAATCTTCCCAGAAAAGATAGAGTCCCAGTTTTAAAATTATATGAAGCATTTAAAATCAACATACCCAAGCATTTCATCAACTAAAATATGAAAGTCCAACCACATTCATTTAATTATGTATGTTTTAATACAATTAGGAAGTTCTGTATTGCCAAGCTAAAGAATAATATGCTTCCATACCAAAGGGAGGATGGTCCCTTCTGCTCTAGATTGAAATAATTTGTTCAGTATTAAAAACATTTTCCATGCAGCTGCCTGAGTTGTTAAGCAGTTTACCAAACAGTAGCTACTATTTTTTGAATGCTCAAAGATGTGCGTTCTATAGAAGCATGGATGTTCAGTGGCTAATATGATAATCATTCTCTCTACTGTGAAATTTATGATCTATACCTATTATATCAATTTCCTTATTTCCCTCTCAATCTTTAGCTCTCTAAAATCTGGCTTCTCACCCTACCATGATATTGAAACTTCTCTTTGAAAGCTATATTTTAAATTATTGAATTCAGTAGTCTTATCTTACTCCTTATTTACCTTTGCCTTTTGAATGTACAGTATACTCTTGGCTACCACCTTCTTGCATCTCTCTTGCCCTTTCTAGTTAATATGCTTATACTTTTAAAATTCTTGCTCTATGTTCTGAAGTTCTTCCCCTTTCTACTTTGCTGATTCCAATTATTCCTATTCATTCCTGAAAATAAACATTCCTCAAGAATCATTCCCAACCCTCTGCTCTACTTTTTGTACACCATTTTTCTCAGAAATTTCATCCATGGTGATGGATTCAGTCATGGCTGTTATGTCAATTATTTATATACCTATATTTGGCAACTGGATGGTACATTGGATAGAGGGGTGGGCCTGAAGTCAGGAACAGTCTTCCTGAGTTCAAATCTGGCCTGAGACACTTATTAGGTGTATGACTTTGGGCAAGTCACTTCATCCTATTTGCCTCAGTTTGCTCACCTAGAAAATTAGCTAGAGAAGGGAATGGCAAACCACTCTGGTATCTTTGCCAAGAAGACCCCAAACAGAGTCACAAAATATTGGACATGACTGAACAACAACATTAGGGAGACCTGTACTGACAAACAGTACAGATGAAATTGACCAGCAAGTGTCAAATGAACATAAGTTTCAAAAGTATCAATATTGTGATATTGATTGACAAAAAAAGCTAATCTATCTTAGATTATATTAACATAAGTCTAGATCATGGTAGATAATTCCACAATAATCTTTGTTATTCTAAATACATGTTGAAATACTGAGTATTATAACATCTGTTAGAGATGAGGAGGAGGTAAGAAAATTCTAGGAAGATTTCAACGAAACCATCTAAATTGAAGTATTTAGTAGGCATGGAAAAGATTGTAAAAATTGTGGAAAAAATGGCTCGAGGTAAAGAATAAGGTTGAAGCCTTATAGATGACTCACATCCAGTTATCATGAGTATCTTTTTTTTTTTTGAGGAAAAGCAATCCAATTTATTTCTTCAAGAAGTTATTAAGTTGCCATAATATGCCAGACATACTGTGCCAGGTATTAGAGATACAAAGACAAAAATGAAGTAGTTCTCATTCTTGAGGAATTTATGTTGTATATGGACATAAAACATTCATAAATAAGTACATACTACATTGCCAAAGGCAGCTGGCTTAGAGTATAAATTTGTATATGAATATAGGATTCATGTATATGTGCACATACATACAAATGTGTACTATATATATTTGCTGTATTGTGCATATATGTAGGTGTATGTATATATATATGCATATCTATCCATAAGATACAATTATGTTCTGGTGTCCATTTTGCAAATGCTTCTCATGTATACAACAAAAGGATCTAACAAAAACCCGTTATATATATTTTTGTTGTCTTTAGATTTTATAATTAAAACCAGCTCTGCCAACGCAATTCCTTTATTTTCCTTTCTAAGGAGAACCAGATTAACTGCAGATTTCTTTAGTCTTCTGATTTTATTTATAGTGAAAATTGTTAAAATTTAGTGCCTCCAGCAGGATGACCACTAGTTTATAATTGGACTATCTTTTCTAATTTAGAGCACCAAAGCTAAATTAATGATTATAACTTTTCTAAAAATGTGCGATTTTAGATTGAAAACCCTTGATGTCAGGAACAGTGCTTTGTTCCACAAGGCTCTATGCAAAGGTATATAAGAATACTTTGAATTAATAGGTGCTCAACATATTTTTATACCATTTATTTGAAAGATACACACACCCACACACTCAGGTAAGCATGTACCAGCATCACCTGGTCTGAGTCTACCAATTCTTAAGCATAAGAATGAAAGGTACTAGAGAAATTTGCTAATATTCCCTTGATTTGAAATACAGACAATATAGGGAAGTTGTTGCCATTGAAGATTATCTTTCCTGAAATTTATTTTTTCCCTTGGCTTAGTTTTTGTTTGATTTGTTTGTTTTTGTTTGATGATGATGATGATGATCATATATACCTATATACAACAGTGTATATATATATATATACATATATATATATATATACATATACATATATATATACACATATATATATACACACACACACATATGTATATATATGTGTGTATATATATGTGTGTATATATATGTGTGTATGTATGTATGTATACACATACATATGTGTGTATGTATATAGGTATGTGTGTGTGTGTGTGTACACACACACACACATACACACACACACACTTATTCACACACACATATAGCCAATTATATAATTTTCCCTCTGGTGGCTACATTTGATTTGTCTTATAAAAATCATGGGTAAAACTTCATTAATATAGTCAAAGTGCTGTAATGAGTAGGGATTTTTGTAAATGAATGAAATCAATATTAAGAATAGTTCTTAACTTATGTATCTGGATTCAGGAATGCTTTAGGTTTGGAAAAATTAACTATGTTTCTTAGCATTATAAGAGTGCATATTTGTCTTGATTTTTATCTAACATCTATATTTCTGTCAATGCATCTGTAGATTTAAATGGAGAGAGACAAGCACAGTATTTCACCATGAATAAAGTCTGTTTCAGAGTCAAAAAATCCTGGTTTCTCAGAGCCTAAGCGATTGTCTTATACTGTAAATTGCAGAGAAAACACAGATCTTCATTGAAAGAGGGAATTTGTTCATCAAATATTCACTACCCCCAATATGTATATATTTGAACTTCCTTAAATGCTTAATGGTTGTGGTCATTTAATAGTATCTCATATACTATAATCACAGATTCTTAGCTTAAAAGTTATTTAGTCCATTCTCTGCCTCATGTTGAAATCCTCTGTCTAATATAATTCAGAGATCATCTTGGAACATATATTTGAATATGTCCAGTATTCAAATCTGAGTTTTACTCCCATCTTACTCATATCTTCCTATCTATTTGCCTATTATTTCTTTATTACAGTACACCAAGCAAACGGAGGGAGACCCTTCATTACTATAGGGCATGAGACAATGGTGAAGTGAATAAAATATGATCCAAAATAAGGAAAAACAGAGCTCCATAGATTTAAACTTTTGTCCATTCTATTTTCTCACTTTCTCATATGACTTTCAACTTCAATTTCTCTTCTGTGCCACCTTATGGCATACAGCGTTTACAATCCTCACCTTAGAGATGGAAGCAATTTTAAAATTGCTGATTTGGAGCTCTGGGCCTCCCCACAAAGCAGTATCTG